TTTTATATGAAAAATTGATTAAAATGTGAAATAGAGCTTTAAAACTTAACTGAGTTGACTTCGGTCAATATTTTGAACAAATGGACCCGAATCAGTATTTTGATAGTTCCGGCATGTCCGTATCATGATTTGGGACCTGGGCGTATGCCCGAAATTTAATTTGGAGGTCCATTGCTTGAATTATCGCGAGTTGACGAAAACTAGAAACTTAAAGGCTTAAAGATTTCAAAGTTTGACCACAAATTGACTTTTATTGATATCAGCATCGGAATCCAGTTCTGAAAATTTTTATAGGTCCGTTATGTCATTTATGAATTGTGTGCAAAAATTGAGATCAATCGAACTTGATTTGATAGGTTTCGGCATCGAATGTAGAAGTTGAAAATTCTTAAGTTCCTTAAAGCTTGAATTGGGTATGCTTTGTGGTTTTAGCGTTGTTTGAAGTGATTTGAGGTTTCGACGAAGTTCGGATGATGTTTTAGGACTTGTTGGTATTTTTTATTGAGGTCCCGGAGGCTTCGGATGAGTTTCGGATGGTTAACGGATCGAAATTTGGACTTAAACAGCTGCTGGAATTTTCTGATGCCTGTATCTGGATTCCTTCATTGCGTTCGCGAGGGGGTGTCTCGCGTTCGGGAATAGGAAAGTTGGACTGGCCCGTTTTTTGTTTCGCGTTCACGACCGGGGGCACGCGTTCGTGAAGGGTCAAGGGGCAAAAAGCTTCGCGTTCATAGCCGGGGCATGCGTTCGCGAAGGGTCGAGGGGCAAGGCTACACATTCTCGATCGAGGCCTCGCGTTCGTGAAAGGGAAAGCCGGCCTGGGGCAGCACAAAATGTGCTTCGGGAACGCGAGGGACCTGTTGCGTGCGCGAAGAAGAAATCCCTGGACAGCAGAACTTAAGTTATGGAAATGTGATTTCGTCCCATTTTTCATTATTCACGATTTTGAGCCCAGGTAAGGCAATTTTTGGGCGATTTTTACGGGTAAATATTGGGGTAAATGTTCCTTATCCTATATTGATTATATTTGATGATTCCATATTCATTTACATCATGAATCCATGAATTTATGGAAGAAAAATCAGATTTTTATAAAATCTTTCAAAAATGTAAAATAAAGATTTGAAGGTCAATCTGATGTCGGTATTCGATAATTTTTGTATGGTTGAACTCGTATCGAAACGGGTGTTCCGATTTCGTGAGTTTTTTCGGGATTTGAGACTTGGGTCCCACTGTCGATTTTAAAAATAAATTTCGGATTTTAATCCGAAAAATTAATAAATTCATATGGAATTAATTCCTACGATTCGTGTTGAGTATATTTAATTATTTGTGATAGGATTTGAAGCTTTCGGACACAAATTCGAGAGGCAGAGGCTTATTGGAATCTTGAATTTGGTTGCAAAGCGAAGTAAGTGTCGTGGTAACCTTGACTTGAGGGAATAGAACCCTTTACTTATTTGTTAAGTGAAATTCATGTGTAATGACGTATAGACGAGGTGACAAGTTCCTATACGTCGTCAAATTAATTGTTTGCATATTTATCTGAAAATCATAAATTATTTAAATCATGAATTAATTATTGTATTAATTATTTCTCTCATATTCCTTGTCCAATATTATATCTTAAATTCATGATATAATTGCTACCTGCTTATTTGACTTATGTGCCTTAATTGCTACTTGGCATCTAGCATGTTAAATATTAAATTGCCTATTTTTTTTCCTTGATTTCCACAATTAATTTTTACTTGTCATTACTTGTTTCCTAAATAAATCATAATTATTGTATGCCTTCTTGCCTAATAATTTCTTATTAATATGGTATTTATTGGAATATTTTTAATATTTAGGAGTTGTTAAAATATATTATTGGAGCGGGTTGTACGCCGCAACGGAGTTAAATTATATTGTTGGAGCGGATTGCACGACGTAACAGAATTTAATTGAAAGATTATATTGGTGGATTGGGTTGCACGCCGCAACAGATTTTATTTTAAGTTTATATTGTTGGAGCGGGTTGCACGCCGCAACAGATTTTATTTTAAGTTTATATTGTTGGAGCGGGTTGCACGCCGCAACAGAAATTAATTGAGGGATTATGACTGCTGAATTGACTTCAGTACTGGGATGGTATTTAGATATCGTATTATTTTTGGTTTGCACATTTAAATTCAGATATTATTCCATTTGTTGGTTCTTTATTATTTAATTAAAATAAATTATTAAAAAAATAGTTTAAATTATTCTAACATTGGCTTGCCTAGCAAGTGAAATGTTAGGTGCCATCACGGTCCCGAAGGTGAGAATTTCGGGTCGTGACATGTTATTACTGCTTTTCGGTATATTTTATTAGTTGTATTCACTATATTTCTCTTTGTATTCAGTGTATTTTACTGTATTTTACTATATTTTAAAATTACATGTATTCACTGTTTATATTTTGTTCTATTTTAATGTTTGTATTCAGTATATTTTAATATTTATATCCTATATTTATGCATGAAAATAGATGTATTCAGCTGTATTAAAAAATACAAACCTTCAAAATACATAAATACATGCAAAACATAATGTATTTATATAAAAATACAATGTATTTGAATGAATTTGTACAAAATACAGTGTGTTTGTATCATTGTATGTGATTAAATAACAAAGAAGGGAAGAGAGTTCGTCGGAGATGGCATTTTTCGGTCTAGCAAAATATTATATACATTGTATTAAAACTAAAAATGGAGATGAACAAAAACCCCGGCCCTCAAATCTTCTTCGGCGTAAAAAGTATTGCAATATCCGTCCAGAGGAATCCATTGCAATATCCAGCGTAGAAGAAAGTCGCTGTCTCTTTCTTTCTAATATTGCAGTACAAATCCATTGTAAATATCCAGCGTAGAAACTAAGTAGTACAAATTCATTGCAATATCCGGCATATAAACTAAGCAAGTATTGTGCTCGAAGAGAGAGGAGAAAGAAGAAAATTTTAAGAGAAAGAATCGTGTGTTAATTGAAAGAAAAAGAGAGAAGGAAATATATACCATAAATACTTATTTTGCTATAAAATATAAAAGATAGCTATAGAAAATAATATTTTAAAATGATTTTGATTTATAATAAATAGGGTGTATACCTTGCTTATAGGGGGTAAACTTTCCTTAGATAATTATGTTACGTACATATACCATGTAGTTGGAGGTCATACAACATTACAACAAGTTAACAACCCAACAAAAATATACTTTGACATAGATATATGCTTAAGGTGATTATGATTTGTTTTATCTCTACTACTAGTATATATGATGGAAGTTCTAAAATGGGAAAGAACTTGTATAAAGAATATCAGTTGACGGACTGTAATCTTCCTCATTTTGTTATTGTCTTTGCCCCACTTTTTGTAACACTAGTTTTAGGATACGCGCGTTTCGCATGGATCTTGTCTGAATGAGAACAAATTATTTAAAAAAGTACTTAAATATTATATGAAAAATTGTGTTTGACTAAAAAATAAAAGTTAAAGAGAAAATATAAACTCCTGAAAATGATAAATGTCGATCCTATATAACTAACTCAATAAAAAAAAAAAAATTTACCTTTTAACTAACTCAATAAAGAAAGAAATTTTACCTCATAAAAGGTAATCAATTATCTCGATTAATATATTCAACTTGAAATTTATCCCAGTTTAATCATGTTATTGATTAAACATTACAAATTATCATGCTTCCTTTTTAGTTTTAGTTAGAACACATAACCTTTTAAGATTTAAGAGCTTTTTCAGAAAAATTTCTTGAAGAGTTATATCTTCAGATGTATTCTTAAGTTCATTCTAGAAGACACAACAGGTCAACTAACTCACAAGATGCTTTTTGTTTTCTTCCGGCGAGCAAATGCAAGTTGTTCTTGTTCTTTAACTAATACGAAATACTACATAAATTATTTTTAATATTTTAAATATTGTGTTTGTGGGTTATCTTCAATATTAAAAAATTAATTAAATTATAATCATGTCTAGTGTAAAATTAATTTTTAAAAGGTAAAATAAATAAATAATATTTTACTAAGAGGTTTTTTGTTTTAAATATAATATAATTCTTTGATAAGTTATCCAGTAATATAGGAGTTATTGATGATCCATAAGTTCTTTTAACATATTTTTAACAATCTATTACCGGAAAAAAATCGAAGATGTAATAAAAAAAGATAAAGAACTTAAAAATTAGGAAGAAAGAATAAAAATACATACTTACATCTACACGCCGAAGGTATTTCATGGCTACAAGTTTTTTGGTTTCTCTGTGTCAGTTGCTACCCCAAATTTCTAGCTATACCAAGTCCTTTATTTTTGTCAAACTTTTGCAGCTTGCAATGTAAAGTAAAAGAATTCTAGACTAACGTGGTTACCCCTTATTTAGGATCAGAATCTTAATGATATAAAAGTTCTTAGTTAATTTAAATTTTTAAATATTAGGGTTCTTTAAATAAGGAAATTTTTTAATAAGTGAAGTTTTAAATGATTTCAAACTCTTAAATATTAGGGTATATAACTAAATGACTATTTTGTCTAGTATGAAATCAATTTTTAGAGGGTAAAAAAGACGAACAACATTTCGCTAATGACATTCGTGCTTTTAATATAGTATAGATTCTTTTATTTTTAATCTGAAAAAAATATTAAATCTTTTTTAAATTTAAAAATAATTTAATTAATTTTTTTACCCTTAATAAGATGATTTATAAATTACAGTCATACAAAAAAATTATTCTTTGGAGGAGTATAAATTATGGTGGTGAGAGCAGATTTGGGAGTGTGTAATAGAATAGATTGTGAAAGGATAAATAGAAGCATCACTTGGTTGAGTTGGTTGCTATCTACCAAGCCTGGCTATTCATTGGCTACTAGATGTGGTCCATGAAATAGAAAAAAAGTTCAAGTCACCAAACAGAAAAAAAAGGGAATTGAACATATCATCATCATCATTATCTCCATCACTACTTCAATCCACACACCACACTTAAATTCCAAACAATTCCCTCTTTAACTTTCTTTTCTTCTACTCCTTCCACTTCTCCCTTTTTGCACCTTTTTCTTCTTGCTCCCTCTCCCTACCCCCTTTGTTATGTCTATACTTCCCTTTACTCAACTCTCTCTCCCTTTCTCTCACCTAATATCTCTCCCTATCATCACCCCCACCTCCACAAAAGAAAAAAAAAGGGATTGTACTCCTCAAAATTGGTATATAGTAACTCTATATACACAAAATCATGTGCTTTCAAGAATGTCACAATGGTTCGTTTGTTTGGCATGCCATGGTTTGTTGAGAAAATTTTGAACTAGAGAAGAAGATGAAGGAAGTTAGAAATATTAGGACAATGAGTACGAGGATTCTCAGGAGTTTTTACATATTCATTCAACTCGGTTGTCTTTTTATCTATTCAGGTGACGAGCTTTATCTTCTTCTTATACTTGACATGCAGTACCCATGTCCAATAATGGCTTCTTAAGTTTCTTATGCAATAGATCATCCTATTCTCTCTGTTGTTATGAGCCAAAAAGATGCTATATCTCATCATCTTTTTTCCACTTCTTTGTTTGATCTAGGATGTTATTTTAGTACTATTTCTTTTGTCCATTTCCATTTGAGTCTTCTATTAAGCATCTTAAAGAACATTGGTGTTTAAACTTTTTGTGTCTTAAATGTTTCAGTCATAATTTATAAAAGCATAGGAGAATTTGCATGTTAAGTTTCAATTTGAATTCCCTGTTTGAATTATTATCCAGATGGAGTGATTGACTATAGAAACTTTCCCCTTTAAAAAGGACAATGATTACTAATTTCATCTTTTTTGACTCTGCATCCATCTTTTTCTTTGCTCATCATTTCCCTACCGAGGGCCTCTTTTTTTCCCTTATCAAATCAAATGTTTTGTGCAAGTAGCATTTAGATTTTAGAATCATATTTCAATTTTTGACTTAATCTACCATCATAATACTTCTTTCAACAACAACAATATATACAGTGAATTCCTACATGCGAGGCTCTAGCGAGGGTAAAGCGTACGAAGACCTTACCCGTACCTTGCGTAAGTATAGCGGTTGTTTCTGATAAACCATAGACTCAATAATACTTCTTTCGGTTTATCATAATACTTCTGCGTTTTGATCAAGCAAGCATAAAGTGTATATCGAAAAATAGGCATTAATTATTTGAACATAAATCTCATTCTAATTGGTAAAGGTTAAATTGGAAGTTGCTTTCATTACCGGAAGAGGTGACAAAATGGTTAAAATAAAACAGTTATCTATTCATATTATCCATGAAAAAATAGGTTGGATAGTGAACTGTTTAAAATCGGATCAAATATGGATAAGAACCATATTATCCACTTAGAAAATGGATAACCAATGGATAACTAATGAGTTTAATTTTTAACTTCGTAAAACTTCAAATTGAGGTTCCTCAAGTTTGGGACACCAGAAATTCTCTCAAAAGTGATCATATTCAAGAAGTCATGGATAATATGAATATCCATATTATTCGCCGTGTAACTCGTTTTTTATCCGTATTAAATATGGGTCGGGTCGGATAATTTATCCATTTTTTGAATTACCCATTTTCGATTGGAAACACCTCTCTATTCTCACAAGGTAGGGGTAAGGTCTGCGTACACACTACCTTCCCCGGACCCCATGGTGTCGGATAAGACTGGGTATGTTGTTGAACCGCTCATATCCGCCCCACCCCTGTGCCACTCTGAATCTTAATTCCCTTTAAGTTGCAAATGTAGCAGTTAAAAGTGTTCCAAGCTTAAACTATTAACGTGCACCTTTATCTAATTAAAATCTAAACCACAAATTATCTATCAATGCTGTTGTGAATTTGCAGGTTCAAATGCTACACACATAGGATTAGTAGAACAGAATTCTAAGACCATTTCCAGCAGCCAAAAGGACATAACAACTCCAATAACAACAGTACCAACTGGAACTCCTATCACCATTACAACAACACCAGTACTGAATCCAACAATCTCAGATCCTGATTCAACAACTAGCGGTCCAACCAATCCGGTAATGACAGCAGGATCTTCATCATCGGGCTCGAGCTGGTGTGTTGCTAGCCAAGCTGCCTCACAAACAGCGTTGCAAGTTGCATTAGACTATGCTTGTGGCTATGGTGGTTCTGATTGTTCTGCCATTCAGCCTGGTGGCAGCTGCTACAACCCCAACACGCTCCGCGGTCACGCTTCCTTTGCATTCAATAGTTACTATCAGAAAAATCCAATTCCTAATAGCTGCAATTTTGCTGGTGCTGCTGTTACTACAAACACCGATCCCAGTAAGCTAACAATTCCCATTACTCCTGTAACCATACTACTACTACTACTACTACTTCTACCTTTAGTTTCTTATATAATTGATTAAATGATAATATGTTGTGTGCAGGTAGTGGTTCATGTCAATATCCATCAACAAGGTGTGATTTTTTAAACATGAATAAAATTGTATTTTAAAAAAAAAAAAATTAACCATTTGCATATAGAGTTTCTGATTAATGTTGGGAATTGCAGCACAAGTGCATCCATTTTGAATACAACAAATTCAAGTGGTTCGACAGTATTTGGTGCTGGGCCTATTACACCATCTACTTCAGCAGCTGTCCCTCCAAATAAGTTCCTGCATTATTACTGCTACATCTTAACATGTCTTATGATATATATTGCTAATATAAAGCCAATTTTATTTCTTGGCAAATGTAGAGGAGACTAGCTTTTTTGACAGGATTATACATTATTCAGATTGGGAAAATGGCGTGATGAGTGATGTCAAATTGGATTAATTGTTTCTTTTTAATCAATTTGCCGATATGACATCTTGCATTTAGGAAGAAAAAAAGATTTGTGTGCAGAGGTGCTGGATTTGTAGTGTTTATACTATGCTTTCTTGTAGGATTTGTAAAAGCATATAACACTAGTGGTTATGTGGATAAAAGAACAAGATACATATAAACCTTTTTCTGTTCTGCTGTAGCCTAAAAGTTGAGAGGAGAATCTTGCTTGGAAATTGTGTTAAAGGAAATTGTTACACTGATAGTTTCTGAATGGTAAACTAAAGAGTTGAGAAGAATAGCTTAGGACAAGATCCGAGAGGTTGCAATCTTCTTTCGCGTTTTGAGTCCAGAAAGGTTAAAAACAAAAACTAAAGTAAAAGAAAGGCAAAGTGAGGATAATAAAAGCAAAAAGGGGCCAAAAAAAAAAAAAACAGAAATCACTTGAATCAGGATAATCTATAGAATGTCATGCTAGTAAGAGGTTAATTTGGGCTTTTCCTTCTTTCTTCCTATGAGCCTAATAGATATTTCAGTATTTTAATAGTCAAATTTCATAATTTTGACCGTAGTCGCAATAGAACAATTAAATTGAGGCAAAAAAAGAAGTAATGCTTGTTCAAATTTGCTCTTGCTCTACTTTTTTAGAAAAGGTTCAAAGTTGCTCCTCAGCTATTGACGTTCGTTGAATTGTGTCATCTGTTAGAAGTTGACAACAAAATCACCATATCCATTAAAGGTGGACCATTTTTGCTCTTTGCTTCCGATTCACCTACATATGCTAACTCGTGAATGACAAATGTTTAGGAAACTTTAAAAAGGTCTTTTTGCAGTAAGAACCACAATTCCAACACTACG